ATCCATCCAATGAAAGAAGAAAGAGGAAAAAAATCTTCTTAAGTGACTTCAGTGGAAATGGCAGAGAAAGGACCTCCAAAAGACCACTTGTCAATTAAAGTAAAAAGAATACTGCCAAAAAATTGTCAAAGACCTAAATTTAAGAGCTAAAACTATAAAACTATTAGAAGAAAACAGAGAAAACGCTAAATGACATTGGATTTTTAAGAATTTCTTAGATACAACACCATAAAAGCAAACGCAACACCAACAAAAAATAGGTAAGTTGGACTTCATCAGAATTTTTAAAAAGTTTTATGCACATTAAGAAAGGCAATAAATGAAATGGAAGAAAATATTTACAAATCATATATCTGATAAGAGATTAAGATTCAGAATATATAAAGAACTCCTACAACTCACCACTGCCACCACCAAAAACAATCCAATTCAAAGTGGGCAAAGGACTTAAAAAGACATTTCTCTGAAGAAGATAATACAGGCTGCCAAGGGCTGAGGAGAGGAGAGAATATAAAGTTATTATTTGAAGGATATGAAGTTTCTATTTGGGATGATAAAAAAAGTTCTGGAAATGGGTAACAGTAATGGCTGCACAATATCGTGAATGTAATTAATGCCACTGAACTGTACACTTAAAGAGTTAAAATGGTAAATTTTATGTTATCTGTATTTTACCACTAAAAAAATTTACCAATAAAAAATGAAAAGAAAACAACAATGTATTTCCTCACTCTTTCCACTAAAAATATCTAAAAGTAATCACCAACCCAGTGGTAGTTAGCACCCCCTGTACACCCAAAAAGATAAACAAAGAAGGAAAAACTCAGTCACCTTTGGAGAATGCTAGGGAACAGCAACATTATTTTGAACATTGGTCAATAAAAATAAAAGGTAAGAATGTTGCTTTTATCCTGTATTTCAGGATAATCAGGATTTAAACTCTTTTTCAGGGTGACATTTGATAAAGAGGAATCTTTCTGTAGAAGTAGTATAGTTAATCAATCACAAAGGAATGAGGGTGGGAGAAGAGGGGTAAGGGAGGGAAGGAAAATAAAAGACAGAGAGAAAGTATGAGTCTAAAGGGAAAAAATATAGAATCATATCTTTGTGACTTTGTTTCTTAAACAAGAACCCTAAACCACAAACCATGGGGGAGGGATGGGGGTGCTAAATTTGACTATATTAAAAAAATAAAAGACATTTTTCAACAACAGATACCATAGACACAGTTAGAGACGAAAAACAAATTAAAGTAAGATATTTCCACTTGCTGTAAGGTTAACATTCAGAACGCTTACAGGGTTCCTGCAAATCTTCTGGAAAGGGGAGATCCCCCAAAATGGTTGACTGTTACCAACAGGCAGTGAACAAAAGACGAAATCAAAGGATAATAGGCATATGAAGGTCAGTTTCACTGGGATTCAGAAAGAAATGAAAAGTAAAGCAAATAAATAAAATAAATTAAAAAAAAACTTGTAAATGGTAAAAAGTTGGATAATATCAAGTGCTGGTGAGGCTACGGGGAAAATGGGAATCTTTACTGCTAGTAAGAGCCTGACCTGGTATAGCCACTTGGGAGAGCAATCGAGACATTCAACACTCAAACTTCTGGGTTTTAAACCTCAGACAAACTCTCATATATGTCCCCTAATCTCTGTGTTCACTGCAACATTGTTTGAGGACTTGGTAATAACCTAGGTGTCCCTCACTAAGGAAATATATTAAGTGATGGAATATCACGCAGGTCAGAAAATTATGAACTAGATTTACATACTGCAGTATGGAGTGCTCATGCAAATGTCATATAAAAAACAGAAATATAATGAGCTTTATAGCTCAGTAAAGGTCATGTATATTAAACATAAGCACACAGACTGTTCCATTCTACTTTTCAAGGATACTTACATATACATGAGCAAATGGATTGTGCCAGTACATTGCTCAACTTCAGGGTTACCATTCACACAGTTTCCTATGTGAATGGTGCCCTCTGCTGCACAATTCCAGAATACAGCATGAATGGTGCCCCCTGGAGGTGTGCAACATAACAGCCCTGAATATGCAAGACGGTTTGGAAGGTCATAGACTACATATGCTAAAATAAGTGTCTATGGTGGGAGGAAGAAGAGGAATGAGAGTGGGATGAGGAAGGAAGGGGAACATGAAGTAAAATAAAACAGAAGAGGGACCTTGCATAAACTGAGGATGGCAGAGTAACCTGAATCAAAAAAGAGAATCCACTCAATTCCGTGGTCTTAAGGTGGGAAAGGATGGGCCTCAAAGAGGGGTCTTGAACTGGATAACCAACAATCTTATAAATCCTGCTAAGAAATGTGGATTTTATCCTAAAAGCTATGGGGAATCCTGGAGGTGTCTGAAACAGGAAAAATTTGCAAGGGATTGGATGAGAGGGGGAGAGGCTGGGACAGCGGTCCTTCAAAGAGATCCATGCAGTGGACTCAGACTGAACACAGAGACACCCTACATCAGATGTGCATGCTCAACTCCATGGGCACAGGGATCTTTGGAAGGCCCAGCACTCCCTCCCTTTACCCTTCCCTGATCCTCAGGTACCACAGGCTCAACCAGGAACAAGGCCTGGTTAAAAGTGCTGGGGACAGCTTCAGGGCAGTCATGGTTGGCACCACCTTCCATATGTGATTGTGAATAGGGCATAGCTGTAGGCCCTGATGCCTGGGTATTCCAGTTTGTTGCCCAACTATGCACCTGTGCCCTTGGGGCATTCAGTCAAAACCTCCATGCTGATACAGAGGGTATTAATTTTCTGTGAGAAACTTTTTCATTGGCAAAGTGTTCACCTCTCTCAGACAAATGCAGTTGTATACACAGGAATTTTTCCTCCTTTGTCTCTTCCTAAATCCTCACCTGGTAGATATTTACTGGCCCTATGGTTTTGGAAAAAAAAAAAATCACTCCACCTCCCTAGCAGAAATACTTGGAGGAGACTTGATAATCTCTAAGCCCAATTCCACCCTTCCAATGCTAACACTCTGGGGCCTGTGAGAAGTCTTTCTTCTGAGCATACAGAACACTTTGTGGGTACAATGTTCCTGGTGCGATATAGAAAAAATGGGTACAGGTTTCAGTCAGGCTCAAGTTAGACTCTTGTATCTGCTACGTACCAGGTGAGTGGCCTTAGCTTCTTTATCTATAAAAATTGGGGGTTAAAACGTTCTCTCTCACAAGACGAATGCAGGGAAAATGCATGTGAAAATACTCAGCATGAGGAGCTGGCATTTGAAAAGCGCTCAAGGGAAGAGAATTCCTCTTCACTGTCCTTCATTTCTGTTTAGGAGAACAGGTTTCACAAAAACTTTCACACTGAACATTTCACAAATTGCCATGATCCAATTTTCCTATTTCAAGAATTTAAAGGTGAACTCAGGTGTAGTGTAATATGTAGAAAGAAAGGCCTAGAAAAATCTAAACTGTTAGAGGCTGTACTAAACAAGTAAGCTTATGTATTTACTTTATTTTGACTTAATTTTTGATAGGGCTTCTTCCTACCCACCCCTATCAAATGCATTTTATGACAAATCAAATGCATTGTATGACATCACCATCTAAGAATAACCTTTTCTACTGGACTCAAAATGAAAAAAGATAATGAATATTTTCTTTTTATAAATCTGAGTCTCCTATTTGCTAGTCCTCTTAATCTCACTCATGTAGAGTTTTTGGTCCTCTTGCTGAGAATGGATTACTGTCCAACTCTGATATGAGACAAGACTCCTCTTAATAAGCAGAGCTCAGGGAAGATAAGAAAGTGGAGAGAAGAGAAAGCACCATGTTGTCTTAACACTTCTGGTTGGATGACCTGCCCTTCAGGTCATATATATAAATTTTAATTCAGTGGTTGCCAGCCCTGTGTTCCTGGGGCCACAATAAATTAAGTTTGGTTAAAATACTTTCTTAATAAAATATAATATTTAATGAAAGCCAAGCTGTAGTGAAATAGGCAGTTAGGCAAAGCAGATTGTAAATTAGACAAAATCTACCGAAAAACCACCTGGCAATTAAGACTTTAAATGTTTGTGCTCTTTGACCTGGGAATTCTCTTTCTGGGAATTTATCTTATTGGTGGGGAGGGGGTGTCTAATTAAACCGATATGCACGCAAAGAAGCTTATCACAGTGTTATTTTATAATAGTTAAAAAACAATACTGGGAACAGCCTAATAACATGAGAACAGTTGTATGCACTACTGTGCCTCCAACAGATGGATAAAGCATTCACAAGATGTCTGTCAAAACCTGAGCCTAAAAGCATTTAGACAATCTCATCAAATTGTATCTTTTTTTTAAAAAAAGAAGCAAAGTATGAAACCTTCACAATTTAAAAGGTCTGGAAGAAAATATACCAAATTTTGGTAGTGATAAGCTTTTGGTGATGAGATTTTCAGTGACTTTTTTTCCTTCTCACTTATGTTATTTTCAGGTCCATCATAAAGACTACAGAATATAAGTTTTCTAGTCTGCAAACCATCATCATCATCACCATCATCATCATCATCGTCATGCTTTATAAGAAGGTAAACAGATAGAGACGCCAAATGAAATCTTTTGGGTTTGGGAGATGGTCGAGAATGGGTTCATTAAGATAAAAGATACCATAAATTCTATCAGGTTCAAAAAAGGATGGGGCTGGTTGGTGAGGCAACTTCTCCATCTCATACTCTCCTCCATACGCCTGCTGGTTCCTCCCCAGGATTCCCGTTAGGCTTGGAGAACAGGAGAGGAGGTAGTTTTCCCAGGGACCCTGAAATCCTGGTGGTCATGCCTTCACTGCCATGCATTCATTCACATTCTTAGTGCCATGGTGATTATTTTTAAAGTGAATGAAATTTTAAGAATATTTAGCATTTAGTAGGCACTTTCTAGGCCCAAGCACTGTTTGGGTACTTTTTATCTCCATAGTTCACCTTTTCTCAAGCTTGAAAAAGTTCTGAGTAAAAGGAACTATTGTTTCCTTTCTTTTTTCCCCACCCTGTTCTCCTTTCTCCTACCCACACAGAAAGTGCCTTTGGGGGATATAATTGATTTGGATGAAAGGAAAAAACATAGGCAGACTGGGCCACCCTTTGTTCTGAACAAAGCCTCCTTCCCTGCCCGAGGAGCTGACAGGAGAAGCATCTTCAGGTGGCCAGGACAGGAAGGTTCTGGAAAGAGGGCACCAGAAAATCCTGCAGGCCTTCTCCCTGTGATGTGGCTTATTTGCTTTACAGGCTTCAGGCATATTTGCTGACGTCAGCAGCTCGTCAAAGTTTAAAATAATAGTGAAAAGGAAAACAGCCCCTTTCTGCCAGGCAGGCCTGTTCTGCCAACTTCTGTGTTCTCTTTTGAGTTAATAAACGTCCAAGAACCACCTCCCTTACCACCCTGGAGGGGAAAAAAAAAGAACAATAATTTTAAAACCACCAGGTCAGCCCATCGCCAGCATAAACCATTCAGACAAGCAGCGTTTGTCACACTCTAATGAGGATTTTTACCTCTGCCTCCAAAAGAAAGCTATCATTAGGCTTTGTGTTTATGGGATCAAATGATTGTCTAGGGAGAGTGGGTTTCTTTTGGTCCCTTCCTCATTTTAATCATGCTCAAGACCAAATGCATAGATGTCTTCTGCATCAGACGAAACTAAAAAACCATAATTATGCCAGCTAATGTCTTTGGAAAACATCAATTAAGAAAACGGCCTTTTAATTCCCATTTTACTTGAAATATCTGAAAATATCTACACGTTGTAATAGCATGGCAGTGGTGGAGGGTGGAGGAGGGCGGTCTCTAAAAAGCTCAAGTGGTTTGAGGAGGTCAGGTGGGCGGGCCCCTCTTGGCAACGAGCAGATAGAGAATCTCTCCAAGGAAAGAAATTTCTCTGTAAAGAAAGACCTCTTTCGTTATCTTCCCATGTAGTGTCGAAACTGGAGCCAACCCCTGCACAGTTAGGTTGATACCAGGCTGGCACGGCACACATACCCCATTGTTAATACCTCCTCAGGACAGATTAAATCCCACATTCCTCAGAAGTTCTGAGCTCCAAGCTCCGGAGGGAACACCGCCAGCAGGCTCCTTCCACGGGGCAACAACTAGCTACAACTGATAAGTTTTCATTGAAATAACTGGAACAATTACATTGAGTCCCCACAGGGTTCTGTCACTAGCTATTAAGAGAAAGGCGTTGCACTTGCATGCTGTGGTGTCTGCAAAGGTGTGAGCCAGACAAGAGTAATTCAAGTCAAGTCTTTAGCTCAATTTTATATGCTTTTATCTACGGCTACATGCCGTTGTTAACCAAATTCTTCACCCAAGGTATACTATTAGATTGTTTTATTTCATGTTTTCTTTTCAGCTCTTATCTAGTAAACCTTGATGTTTACACTATCTCTCAGTTTAAGTTTGGACAAGTAACTAATTAATCTCTGACTAAAGGTACTGAAGTTAGACTTGGGTTTGTTTGGTAAAATCTGTTGAGGTCACTGTTGGTTTTAATCATGTAGTTTATTTAGTTAAAAAGCTGAACACTAACAAAGATACTTGCTTTGAAGGCTTAGTTTCAACCAAGTGCTCATTAAACAGCCACTGTAGTTGTACTTGAATTCTGCAATTTCCCTTTTATTTTTTGTCTTAAGTAACAGTGACTGAAGGGATGAAATGGCAATAAGAATAAAAGGACAACACACATACCTTTGCAGGAGCAAATCGCAAAGGGTCTAGATTAAATTTTAACCAGGGGTTATGTCTACCACAATTCTATCTCAAAGGGTTAGATTTGGCTTTTGTAAAAATAAAAGATGATTTTTAGGAAAAGGACTCTATTTTAACATACACTGTATTTTCTAGAAGGAAATACGGAGTTAGTCTTTAAATGAAAATAAAAGGCAAAGAGTTTAGCAGATGGATAATTCCCGAATCTGTAGAAATGTAAACAGCCAGGATTTTGGTGCCTATGGGTTTTATCAAAGATGTAAGGAAGGCTGAGACCAACACCAGTGCGTCCTCTTTGGCTAGTTTTAACACGTTCACAGTCACAATTAACATTCAAGGAATTTCCTTTTCATCCAAGTGTTTCTTTAAAAAGCACTTTCTGCACAAACTAAAGTTCTAGCTGCCATCAGTCTTTCCCATAGAGAAGATTGGTGAAATTTCCATAATACTTTTTTTCTGTTTTTGAAAATGGGCTTGGACCACGTCAATTTCCTGGAGCGTTTATTTTCCAGTATAGGGGGTTCTTACCTCCTCCCTCCTTTCTTCCCCTAAAAGAGCTTGTAATAAGAGACCGGGCTTCCTGGTCCCGCACCCTCCTCCACATTCACTCCGCGGCCAGAGGAGCACCGCTGCGGGGGAGGCGTCCCCAGCCCTCCCAGGCCCAGTCAGAGGGCTGCTGCCCGGCAGGAGCGGCAGGAGCTCCAGGAACACCCCTACCCCCACCCCGGTCGCCTGGTTTCAAGTCCCTGAGCCGGCAAAGCCGGTGCTTTCCACAAGAAGGGAGAAGCACCCTCTCCCACCCTGCTGCTCCTACACAAGGGATTCGCACACGGGCATCGAGTCCGAGTCTTGGCTGTGCATAGAGCTCAGCCCGGTATCCGAATCCTCGTCGTTCCCAGGACAGCTCTTGGCCAGTCCGCGGGCCTGGTCCACCCAGATTTCCGCAGAGGCCTGAGGCCGGGGTTCCCGCGAGGGTCCGCCTGAGACCGGAGTCCCATCCGGCGCTACTGTCAGCTCCAACGTGTGCAAAGTCTGGAGAAGGCCCTGTAGCTCGCGCTCCTTGCTGTCCCACTGTTGCTGGCTGTAATCCAAGTCCGACTTGACGGCCTCCAGGTCCGTGTTGAGTCGGAGCCCGATGTAGAGGCTGGTGCTGAGCTGCGTCCTGACCCGCTCCTGCTCCAGCAGCAGCTCACCGTCCAGGCCGCCATCCGGCTCCCGAGGCTCTTCCTGCGCCGCGAGCTCCTCCTGGCGCCTCCGCATCCACCTCTGGTTCAGCTCCTCCTGGATTTCGGCTGAGAGGCGCTCGAGCAACTCCTCCTGCCGGGCCCTCTGCTCCTGAAGCCGCAGCAGGTCGTCGCAGCGCCGGGTCAGCTCCTCGAGAGCGACAGCCTGAGTCTCGCCATCCAGGGGCGGCGTTGCCGTTGCCGCCGCCGCCGCCGCCTCCGCGATCTCCGCCGGCTCTGGCTCCTCTCCCGGGCCGGGCCCGTCGAGCTCGATGCCTGCACCCACCAAGTAAGTGTCCTGCACGTAGTTGACTCCATGACGCCGCATGCGGTCCAGGTGCACCTTGGCCTCGTAGCGATCAATCTCGCGGTCCAGCTCCCGGAGCCGCTGCACCTGCTGACGGATGGTGTGGTCCTGGGAAAGTACCAAATGCACCAGCGTCTCCATGCGCTCCACCGACGCGCTCTCGGTAGCCCTCGGCGACGACGAGCAGGACGAGGTGGTGGACGACGAAGTGGACGAACAGGGCGACGACGGCTGCTGCTGGCGCCTTCGGTTAAGCTTGGCCAGCTTTCGGAAGGCCTTGCGCACCACCCGCCGCTGTTTCTCCTGGGTCATAACCAGGCTGGGCCGCGCCGGGACCCCCCGGGCCGAGCAGGGGCGCTCGCGACTGAGCACAACGCGTGCCTCGGCACTGCGGGGACCCGCGTTGGGCAGTGACGCCTCGCTACGCACCAGCACAAAGCGTACATTCTCTTGCTCGTCGCCCCAGGCGGCCCAGAGGCGCAAAATGCGCGTCTTGTTTGGCAGGATGCGCTCAAAGCCCCGCCACTTCTCCACGATGCAGTAGCACTGCGGGGGCCCGCACAGCAAGCCCTGCGGCAGCGCCTCATCGTCATCCTCGTCGT